AATGGAATTAGAAGAACAATTGTCTGGCGCGTATGGGTGCCCCGCATGTTGTGGCTTGTAACTGGCGGCATACACTCGAGGCCATCATCACTTTGAACGTTTTCCCGATTTGCTTGAGGCGATGATCCCGAAGCACCCAGAGACATATATGCAATGTAATTGGCCCTGATCTGGCATCTCGTCTGCAGTCGCACTCTCACAGACGTGCCATCGCATCCTTCTGTCTTTTTTTACAAATAGTTTCACGGTAATTGCTCCGATGAGCTGCTTCCGCTGGTTCGCAGACTTCATGAATTTAAACGTTCAACTTAGGCTGGCATCTCGCTCTTTCTCTTTCACTGTCGAAACTGTTAAATGTAGCTGTCTCTTCTACTCCAATAGATCTGCCCCGATCTATCCCCTATCCATCACTTCATCCTTTCATCTATCACTCCTCTTTGCTCTGTGTCCAATTCTCTTTAACCCCTTCTGTGCTAGTGGCTTCCCGCCTTGCTTGGTGTGAAACGCTTAAAAAAAACCTTGAGCATCAACTGCATTACTTCTGTCGTTCCAGCGACTAACACAGCACCATCAGCGTAGACAAGGGATTAGTTCCGCCTGTCATCTCCGACTTGTTTTTTGTTTTTTTTACTGACTTTGGCCATCGTCAGGATAAACCTTAGCGGGAAACAGACACTTACGTTTTGATATCAAGCCAAGTCTCTTTGCTAACGTTATGAATGCCATTCATTCAACATTCATTTATTCCTTTGGCGCATATGGATACCACTCCCTTCCATTTCAAAATTGTGGTTCATGGTGTCATTCAAGGCAGAATAGTCCCTTTTGTACCGGGGATGTTAAGGGTGCACCACGGCTACTCTCAGCGGTAGATTTGCTTCTCCTAGCCTTTGTCTAAAGAGGCAGGACCTACAAGGGAGCAGCGTATTTGAATTCAGTGTTTTCATTTTTCTAGATTGGCGATGGTATATGGAAGCCGTGCGCCACCCAGATTATATGACCCTGCTCTCCATCGTACCGCTAAGATTCAAAGTAATACAAAGGATTACATTTTTGGACGGCACCTAAAATTGTTAGTGTTGACAGCCAACCGACTGGTCAAACACTTCCTTCACCTCACAATTGTGGTTCATGGTGACATTCAAGACAGAATTGTTCAACCACTTGCCAGTTCTTTTTTTATATTTATAATTTGTTGACGTTGTCTTGTTCCTCCTGGCAGAAGTTTAAAAAAAAAGACCTAATTTGGTTTGCAGATGGTTTGATTTCAGTGTTTTCCTTCGAGACTGCTGATGGTATATGGAAGCCGTGCGCTACCCAGATTACATGACACTGATCACGGTCGTACCGTCAAGATTTGAACCAAGGGATGTTGATGTTACCCTTTTCCCTCCACGCAGAATTTAAAGAAGCAAAACCTATTTTTAGGCAATAGATAATTTGAATTCAGTACTTTTTTCTTCTAGACTGGCGATGGTATATGGAGGCCGTGCTTTGCCCAAACTACATTACTCTGCTCACGGCCGTACTGCCAAGGTTTTTTCGCAGATGGTAATGTTACCCCGTCCGTCCTCTCAAAGTTAAAGAGGCAAGACCTACAAAAGGATCAAGTATTTTGAATTCATTGTTTTTCTTTCTTTTCTAGATTGGTGATGGTATATAGAAACCATGTGTTTTTTTCTCTACCTGACCCTGCTCTCATTTACCGACAAGATCCAATGGAATACAGGGTATTACATTTTGGACGACTCGAAAATATCCTAGCATTGACAACCAACCTTCTTCAGGACCTCACTCCGCGTTTTATTTTTTTTTTGTCTGGATTTACTTCTATAGGCTTTTCCGGCAGCGGAGGTTTAAAATCAGGGCTTTCCGTCCTCTAGATTAACTGCCTTCCTGGGCTGTCGACCACCATTTATCCGAAAGTAGATTTATTGCAAACTGAATTACAATTGTGGTCCGAGACCGAAGAGGAAGTCCGCTGAGACTGGTCTACACTAACTTGCTTGAGAATAGCCCACCCATTCATCCATTAAAATGTACACTTTCAACGCATGAACTTATCGATTACCATTTAATCCACCCTATACCACAATACCGCATACTTACACGTACCCTTAAAAACACGCCCAAGACAACAATTTCTTGGTATAACAAACGTACATTTTAGCGAATCAGCAATATTATCGATCCAGACCTGGCGGCTCGGCTTCATTCACGTACCTACCGCCGTTAGGTTGGCTCACTCTGCTTTTTTTTTAAATCATTTCTTTCATGGTTATTTTTAGTATAAGCTCTTCGCTATGGTACCGAGATTTTTAAAAAATTTAAGCGCAGGACTAGACTGGTGTAGGGATCTCCTCAACTTACAGTTGAGCTGGCCAGATGTAGCCGTAAATTCTATAAGAGTTTATTTTCTCGCACTTATCGATTGTGGAATTTCCTTCCGGTTCTCAGTCATCGTTAATCTGCAAAATTTAAATGCAATGTCAATCGCTATCTGCCGTCCTCCTGATTAACCGTTTCCCTCCCTGCTTATTGATGTTTCTCTTACTAATTCTACCGCGCCCTGTAACCCCTTGCGTTTCAGTGGTATTTATGGCTTGCTTGGGGCGATACCAATTAAAACTATTGGAATGAATAGGTACGACATTATTTTTTAATACCCCAAAAAAAAAAGACGTCATACAACAAAGTTAGAATGCTTGATCCGTTGGTAGTTGCATTACGGGCATCTCTCACAGACATGCCGTCGCCTCCCTCTGTCTTTTTTACAAATACTTTCACGGTAACTGCTCCGATGAGCTGCTTTAGCCGGTTCCCAGACTTCATGAATTTAAGCGTTCAACTCGGCTGGCATCTCGCTCTCACCCTTTCACTGTCGAAACTGTTAAATGTAGCCGTCTCTTCTACTCCAATAGCTTCACATCTCGCACTTCTTGCCTATGGAACTCCCTCTTCTTTTCCTGTTTCTCTGATAGCTATAATCTCCAACTATTCTAATGTAACATCAATCGACTTCTCCAGATTCCTTGATCTATCCCCTATCCTTCTCTTCATCCTTTCCTCTATCACTCCTATTTGCTCTCGCTCCAACTCTCTGTAACCCCTTGCGTGCTAGTGGCTTCCTACCTTGTTTGGGGTAAAACGCTTAAAAAAAATAATTAAAAGAAAGAAAAAAACTTGTAATTCCAACGAATGATTTATTTTTTATTGAAATATTTCGACTAGCAGTTGCTACACTTGGAAACTCCTTAATTTGAGTAAAACAGTACAAAGAAGTTCGAAACGCTTGAGAATTTAAATCAAGGAAAAGAAACCGAGTTGATGACGCTTACAACGTAATAGCAAGTAGAAGCATAAAAAAAATCATTTCTTTTTTTTTTGTCATTCATATTTTTCTTTGGTGCAAAAATGTACAGACCGGATGGAGTTATGCTGCATCTATCCTATTGCAGGCATTTTTTGTAGTTGCTCTTACCATTTGTTCAGTTAGTCTTCTTTGATTGAAATGCTTTGATACGAATAAGGCATTGACCTCGCAAAAAAGTGTATGCTCTTACTTTGTAAACGTCATTAACTCGGGGTTGTTTTTCCTTGACTTGAATTCTTAAGCCTTTCTAGTTTCTTTGCATTGTTTTACTCAAATTAAAGGAGTGAACAAGACTAGCAACAGCCAGTCGAAATATTCCCATCATTCGTTGGAACTACAATTTTTTCTTTTAATGAATAGAAGAATAAATTTATTGAAATAAAACAAGTTCAGTTGACCACTGATGACAATTCCAGAACAACGTAACAATAAACAATTTTTTCTATCCTCTTCCAGCTGCAATGATGGAGAAAGCCTTACCTCGAACAATCGCCAGTGAGACACGCTGCAAGCGGCATTCCGTTTCGCGAGGCTTTTCCCTTAATCGAGACTCAATCGCGCCAATCCTCCGAAGGAACGCCATTCAACATTAGTCATTCAACAAAGCTGGAATAATTACGTCATTATGTTCCGTATGACGTCACTAGGCGATAGCTGATGAGGAAATAGTTTCAGATTGATAAAAGACTTTTAAAAAGTAAGGTGATTTATAACTGCAGGGCGTTTATTTTAATTTCATTAAATTCGAAATGATTTTATGTTTATTTTTATGTGTTTGGTTAAATAATACCGAATAGTTTTCCTATTTGTTTTCGTTTCAAATATTTCGAAATCTCCATCGTATTGTCAGGTGCCTATCAGAATGCTATCCCGTAAAAGAAATCCCGGTGACGGAAGAGACATTGCCGAAATTATTATATTATTTAGCGTAGCTATGTCATGTCTTTTGAGAGACACAGAAGCCGAAGAACCATGCAGTTTGGACATTATGCGAAACGGTTCCATATTTCCTGTTGTACCCCAAAACTGCTTTCTAGAAAGACACGATCCGTACAAAGATTATAACGGGCCTGGTGCTGGAACAGTGAAAATCATCCCCCCACCGTTCAGGGCGGTGTTCATTGGCTGTTACGAGATAGTAAATTCTAGTCACATCGAAAATAATGTTTGGAGATCGGACAACATGACATTGCTGAACTGCCTTTTTTATTGTTCCTTGAAGATGAGTTCGTATGTCGGGTTGCGATCTGGAAACACATGTCACTGTAACAATTTCCCTTTTATTATACTAAAGCCAACACGAAAAGAACACCGACATTGTTTATTTCCTTGCAGGGGAAACGGCCGGTTTGCTTGTGGCGGTAAAGATAATATAATACTATATAGGTTACTCGTTACCGATCTTATGTACAACAGAAAACGTTTCAAAAAGCACGGACTGAATAATAACGTTTTAGCTCAACCGATATCAGCGTCTAGTAGCTTTGGAAAGAGTCTTCTCAATGAAACGAGACTGCGTCATAATCCGGTGTGGTCGAAAGACGGACCAGGTGTTTACCTGGGCTGTTTTGTAGCAGGCACTAACAAAGGCAAACAACGGACTCTGAAAATGAGAACGTTTTCGAAAATGTCAATAGAAGACTGCACGACATTTTGCCGTTCCATCGGGATACGATACGTGGCAATATACAGAGACGATTGCCATTGTGGAGCCGATCCTCTTCCGAAGCATAAAGTATTTGACTTTCTGTGCGATCTTGAATGTCTCTCGAGTGTTCGGAAGCAATTCTGTGGCGGTCAGCGCTGGGATATCGACATTGAAAAAGGGAGCGCCATCCCCAGAACAACCAAACGTGTATATCTTCAAGAATATCGGTTAAATAACCCGCCTGGCTTTGATTCCTTTCAAGCGATCTTCATTGGCTGTTATAAAAATAACCCTTTCAAAAGCGACGCTGTCTCCATATCCAAATTCGAATACGTCTCCGTCAACATGTCGGTGGACATCTGCGTTGGAATGTGTCAACATCGTCGACATAGATTCTCACTGATATCAATCCCGAAGAACGTGCGACGTGGCAACTTCCGGTGCCACTGCGCCACGGCCTACTTCTTTCAGCGGAGAACGTCAAATATCGCCGACTGCAAAACAAAATGCCCTTCCGACAACCGACAATTCTGCGGAGGCACAGAACCAGATGCTTATCAATTACATGCAGCTGTCCCGATGCGTGGAAGGTTTTCTAATTACGGAACATTATGGGGTTGCTATTCGTCGTTACCATCAGGACGGGCTATCAGAATCCAGATCGGGCTAGCCGACACTAACAGAACTGAAACCAAGCAGGTGAAAACGGACTGTTGTCATCTGGACGAATGTGTACAGGAATGTCGGAAGCGTGGCTTTCAAATCGTTGCTCTTGCTTCCGGCGCAATCTGCGCATGCGTCAAGCCCGATGTAAGCGAACCTTTGAGGATAGGTGACCGTATTAGTGAGAGTAAATGTAATATTCCCTGTGGAGACGAATGTGGGGATTATTGTGGCGGCGAAAACGCCTTTCAGGTATACATTGCTAAAATTCCCAAAAGAGTTATTTACTAAAATCAAAACTAACCATTGAAGTTAATTCAATTTGTTTTATTCGAACGCAACGCAAGCAGGAAAATATCACATGATTCAATTTAACGATAACTATTAGGTTTGAAAGAAAGTCAGTTTTATAATAAAAGGAGTCCATCGAGAATACAATGATTATTATTATGAATAAAAATAAATAAAATGATTATTATTATAAATAAAAATAAATACAATTATTATTATTACAAATAACAAAATAAATACAATTATTATTATTTAAAATAAAAAATAAATATACTTATTATTATTAAGAATAAAAAATAAACACAATGATTATTATTACTGATAAAAATAAATAAAATGATTATTATCACAAATAAAAAAAATACAATGATTATTATTATAATTAAAAAATAAATACAATAATTATTATTATAAAAAAATGAATACAGTGATTATCATTATAAATAAAAATAAATACACTGATTATTATCACAAATAAAAATAAATACAATGATTATTATCATGAATAAAAAAATAAAAAATCAATGATTATTATTATAAATAAAAAATACAATGATTATTATAATAAATAGAAAATAAATACAATGATGATTATTACAAATAAAAAATTTAATTCAATAATTATTATTATAAACAAAAATAAATACAATGTTTGTTATTATAAATAAAAAAATGAACACAATGATTATTATTATGATTAAAAAACACATTGATTATTATTACAGATAGAAATATATACAATTATTATTATCATGAATAAAAATAAATATAGTGATAATTATTATAAATAAAAATAAATACAATGTTTATCATTATAAATAAAATAAACAAATACAATGATTATTTTTATAAATAGAAAAATAAATGCAATTATTATTATTATAAAAAATAAATACTATGATTATTATTATAAATAAAAATAAATACGATGATTATTATTATAAATAAAAACAAATACAATGATTATTATTATAAATTAAAAATAAATACAATGATTATTATTATAAATAAGAAAAAAAATACAATTATTATTAATATAAATAACAAAATAAATACAATGTTTATTATTATAAATAAAAAAATAAATACAATGATTATTATTATAAATAAAAAATAAATACAATGATTATTTTTACAAATAAAAAATAAATGCAATGATTATTATTATGAATGAAAAATAAACAAAATGATTATTATTACAGATAAAAATAAACACAATGATTATTATTATAAATAAAAAAAAATACAATGATTATTATTATAAAATGACAAATAAATACAATGATTACTATCATAAATAAAAACAAATACAATGATTATTATTATAAATAAAAAATAAATACAATGATTATTATTACAAATAGAAAAATAAATGCAATGATTATTATTATAAATAAAAAATAAATACAATGATTATTATTGATTTGTCACAAGGATGAAAGGGAAGCGAGACTGGTCAACACTGATTATCCTAAATCTAACTCATTTGATTCACAATTCATTCATTTATTACAATTTACCCTATCCCCACAAGAACTCATCCATCACCATTCGATCCAACTTTTACCATAATACAGCATACTCACAGGGCTCCTACTAAAAAAATCCATGACGCAAAAAATTTGATAATATACATATATATATATATATATATATATATATATATATATATATATATATATATATTTTATATATATATATTACAAAAATATATAAAAGTTAATTATGACATGAAAAGAGGGTGGATGAACCGATGAACGAAAATAAAGCTCAACCAAATATTATAATATATCTAAATACAAATTAGAGACACGTCATGATAATTCATCCCATCTTAAATAAATCAAAAACGTTTTGCGCCAAATTTTAACATCATCTTAAGATTCTTCTTGTTTAAAATTTGAATAATTTCACATATTCTACATTATTTTATTGGAATATTCTATTATCTACTTGTAATGGTATAACCCAGTTTTTCTTGCCGTAGTCGATCCTTCAAATCTACAAATCAACCATCCGCCCTTGCATGGAGTATTGCTGCCATATATGGTCTGCTGCCTCTTATGTTTGTCTCAAGGTTCTTGATAAGATCCAGAGACGGATATGCAACGTAATTGGCCCTGATCAGGCATCTCGTCTACAGTCGCTCCCTCACAGACGTGCTGTCGATTCCCTCTGTCATTTCTACAAATACTTTCACTGTAAATACTCCGAAGAGCTACTTTCACTGGTTCCCAAACTGCATGAATTAAAACGTGCTACTAAGTTGGCATCTCGGTCCCAACCTTTCACTGTCGAAAGTGTTAAATGTAACCGTCTCTTCTACTCCAATAGCTTCGTGTCTCGCACTTCCCGCCTGTGGAACTTCCTTCCTCTTACTTGCTTCCCTGATAGCTATGATCTTCAATTATTCAAATGAAATGTCAATTGACATTTTCAGATGCCTTGATCTAATTCCTCGTCGTTCTCTTCAGCCTTTCCTCTATCACGCCTCTTTACTCTTGCTCCCACTCTCTGTAACCCGTTGCGTGCTAGTGGAACTCCCATCTTGCTCGGGGTGAACCGCTTCTAAATATATATAAATAACTTGCAATGGGTTGATAAGCCATAGTAACCGAATCAATCAGTCTCTGAAATACTGATTAGCTACGCAGCCATGTTTTTTAGGTTTATTTACATACTTTGGAATATAAATGTATAGAAATTGTCGTTGCCACAAAGTAAGGGATCACTTTATATATTGATTGTTATATAGAATTGACCCCCCTTTCATTGTCGAAACTGTAAAATTTAGCCATCTCTTCTACTCCAAGAGGTTCGTGTCTCTCACTTCCCGTCTGTGGAACTCCCTTCCTCTTGCTTCCCTGATAGCCATAATCTCCAATTATTCAAATGTAATGTCTGGAGACGTCGATGTCTCCAGATGCCTTGATCTGTCCCCTATCCTTCTCTTCATCCTTTCCTCTATCACTTCTATTTGCTCTCGTTCCAAATCTCTGTAACCCTTTTCGTGCTAGTGACTTCCCGTCTTGCTTGGGGTGACACGCTTAAAGAAAAACAAAAAAACAAACACGAATGCAAATATATTGGCATCATAGCAAGGAAAATTCTTTAAAACTTGCATCTAGACATTGAATAAAAAGGTATTGAAGATTGAAAGTATTTATTATGCTGCTCTCCTTTTATATGTGAAAGAATTTGTTAGGAATTCCCATTTCAGTTGAGTAAGAAAAAAGGCCTTCATCGTTCGGTGTTTCTTTAGGACACGTGACGTCCTAAAAATTATTATGAAATTTTAAAACTGTACTTGTACACGTGATATGATATACACTATTTAATTATTCGGAATATTGTCCTCATCTTTGTCGCCATATTTATTACAGCGTTTCTATAATTGAAGCTCCCTGGCTGCCGTTTGATCAGGGTTCTCATTTACACGGGGCTTTCTTTTGTTCGCTGCAAACGTTGCATTTTTGAATGCAATCTGTTCCTCCGTTGGCGGAGATTTATTTTGATTTTTTTTTTATTTTGGCGAGGTATACTGCTGCCGTATGTGATAGGCAATAATAAACTACAGAAGAACTCAAAATTGCTCGCTGCATTTAAGTATTGCATTAATGTCTAAGTTTACCTTTTAAAATTTCAATGGTAATTCTTCTTCCGACACTTAATTTAAAGACAATTTGATGCACGTAGGTCCGTACCTTCCGTACAAACAATTATTTTTATATCATGGTTAAATTTCGCTATCAATTTCGGTTTTTCCCAAATTTATTTCCAGGTGATAGAAACAGTTATATATATATATATATATGTAAACAAATATATGGATATAGATGCGACAGTATGAAGAAAAATATACGGAAAAAACAAACAAAAATCCTAATATGCAATTATGGTGTTTAAATGTTAATATAATGTCAACGTCTGTTTTGATTAGTCTTACTCTTATGTCCATCGTCTTTTCATGTTGAATTGAATATAGTCTAATGTTAATTATGTTTTATGAATATGTCCTGAAAATGGTCTACTAGACCGAAACGTCCGACGTTGATATTATATTAACATTAAAACAGCATAATTGCATATTAGGATTCTTGTTTGTTTTTTTTCCGTATATTTTTCTTCATATATATATATATATATATATATATATATTAGATTAAAATCCGTCCTACCGGATGGCATTTAAACTATCTCCTGCGGAAGGCTCTTGATTGAGCCTTCAAGAGTTTGAGAGTCCCTATGTCTTTGCATATTGTCAGCATTGGAATTTCTTCTGGCTGCCGTTTGATCCCGGTTTTCATTTGCACGGGACTTTCTATTCCTCACCGCAGCTCTTTTGATTGCAGTCTTGTCCTCTGTTGGCGGAGATTTCTTTTTTGCTGCCGTATGCGATAGGCAGCAATAAACTACCGAAGAACGCGAAATTGATAGCTGCATTTAAGTATTGCATGAATATTTAAGCTTAACTTTTAAAAGTTCAGTGATAATTCTTCTGCCGACACTTAATTAAAAGACAGTTTAATGTGCGTAGAGCCTTACTTTCCGTACAGACAATTGTGACACACTGACACACTGATATTCGTATTTAATTATATAGAGGAAAAAGATTTGATGGAAAAGTCATTCAGAGTCTGTCTATACTTCTGAGATGAGGTATTATGTATATTATTTACATTTTCCGGACATGAGATGAGGTATTAATAGTGCGAATAATGTAAATATTGTACATAATACCTCACCTCAGAAATATAGACAGACACTGAAGAATGTCGGAGAGTACAACGACCGAAACGTTGTGATAAATATGGCAACAAAGATGCGGATAATAGTCCGAATAATGTAAATAGTGTACAAAATGCCTCATCTCAGAAATATAGACAGATACTGAAAGGCCGAAACGTTGTAATAAATATTGCGTCAAAGATGAGGACAATAGTCCGAATAATGTAAATAGTGTACATAATACCTCATCTCAGAAATATAGACAGATACTAAAGGTCCGAAACGTTGTAATAAATATGGCGACAAAGATGAGGACAAATGTTTTCTTACACCTAAAAAAAATGTAAATTAAGATGAAAATTATAAACTCCGTCGTTTTGATAAATCGATAGCGATCATACGCCAATAATATTTTTTTCTCATTATCAACAGGCACATTTGAAATGGTGGTTGATGTGTATGATGTCATTTTGGAAGGTTTTGGTTCGACTAGTATCAGGTGATAAAAATGAGGCATTTGGCAGAAAGAAAACGGTCCTACAAGTTGACAAATATGCAGATAAATCAAACATATAGAGATAAAGACATACGCACATACACACATCGCTAGCTAGCTATGATAGATAGATAGATAGATAGATAGATAGATAGATAGATAGATAGAAAAAAGGAGATAGATAAATATAAGAGAATAGATAGATAATAGATAGATAGATAGATAGATATTTAAGAGAATGAGATGATTTTTATAAACAGTGATAGATATATATGAAGAGACTAATATATATATATATATATATATATATATAGATAGATAGATAGATTTTTAGATTTACTAGATGTTAGATATTTTCAGTCTGATAGATAGATAGATAGATAGATAGATAGATAGAGAGAGAGAGATAGAGATGAATAGATGGACTATATATATATATATATATATATATATATATATATATATATATATATATATATGGTAGACAAGAGAAATTTAATTCAGTTTTAGTTAGTTTTTTCCTGCGTTATTAAGTTCTTTACCGCTTTTTGTTGGAGTAAGAGAGTAGGTAATATTTTCCATAATGGCGCAAGCATTTTCGGCCACTTTAACCATTTTTCAAGATGGCTTTAGTCTAGTTATTGTTAGTTTCTCACCAAGTTTCGACGGTTTAAGTTGTATTTTATATTTTGCGTTTTTTGATAGATAATGAATATAGATAAATAGTAATGTAGAGATAAAATTAACGGACAGAGATGGATAGATAGATAGATAGATAGATAGATAGATAGATGGATAATTAACAAACGTAGATGGATATATAGATCGAAATTAGCAGATATAGGTATGAACAGTCGGAGATAGATAGATAGATAACAAACGTAGATGGGTATATAGATCGATATTTAACAGATATAGATAGATAGATAGATAGGTAGATAGATAGATAAAGAATTATATATATATATATATATATTGATATATATATATAGATAGATATATAGATAATTAATAGACGTAGATGGATATATAGATCGATAATTAGCAGATATAGATAAACAGATAGATAGATAGATAATTAACAGATGTAGATGGACATATAGATCGATAATTAGCAGATATAGATAGATCGATAGATAGATAGATAGATAGATATGAACAGTCTGACATAGATAGATAGATATGAACAGTCTGACATAGATAGATAGATAGATAGATAGATAGATAGATAGATAGATAGATAGATAGATTTGATACATTAATCACTCATTTACGAGGACGAACTTTCAAACTCGACGAGCAGAATAAGAACTTGGTGCTTTTGACATGAGGCGCGTATGATGAAGAAATATTAGTGTGGAAACGAGGAGAATCAACGGAGGTGTTCATGAATGGGTGTCAGGTTCGTGTGACAAATGCACGTGTCAAAATTGCAAGCAGCTTTCGGTGCTCGGGTAACAATATCAACGAAGGAAGAATAAAATATGGCGGGAAAATGATTGGCTAAGCGGCGGGAACGCGACGTGATAATGCGTTCACCTTCACCTTAAAATGGCCGTCTGATTTAAATGAAGCTTTTTGACGAGAATGGGACAGTGGGAGGTGGGGATGCAATTTCCATAAGGAATTAGCGCGAATGAAAAAATATTTAAGTTTGAAATGTTTTATTTTCTTCATCTAACGTCGTGGGAATTTCGTTTCTTGAGTTTTGCTTGCAGTATTTTAGCTACTTTTTAAAATTTATTTAGTTTTTTATTAAAATTTCATTCATTTTTTTTTTCTTTTGCAACTTTGACGTATGCTTCTCGATTCTTTTTATATTTTCTTCCTGTCCTCATTTTTTTATGTTTCAGTTTTCTTTCTTTCGCTTAATTCCTTCTGTCATTTTTTTTCATTTTCTTTCATTTATGTATCGCTCATTACTTTATTACTCTTTCCTTTCTCCTTTCTTTCTTTCTTTCTTTGTTTCTTTGTTTCTTTCTTTCTTTGTTTCTTTCTTTCTTTCTGTCCGTTCAGTCCATTCTTCTATTTAGTTTTTTTTTTTTTCTTTCTTTCTTTCTTTCTTTCTTTCTTTCTTTTCTTTTTTTTCTTTCTTTCTGTCCGTTCAGTCCATTCTTCTATTTAGTTTTGTTTTTTTTTCTTTCTTTTTTCTTTCTTTCTTTCTTTCTTTTATTTCTTTCTTTCTTTTTTTCTTTCTTTCTTTCTGTCCGTTCAGTCCATTCTTCTATTTAGTTTTGTTTTTTTTTTTCTTTCTTTCTTTCTTTCTTTCTTTTTTTCTTTCTTTCTTTCTTTCTTTTCTTTCTTTCTTTCTTTCTTTCTGTCCGTTCAGTCCATTCTTTATTTAGTTTTTTTTTTTTTTTTTCTTTCTTTCTTTCTTTTTTTTTCTTTCTTCTTTCTTTTCTTTCTTTTCTTTTTTTCTTTCTTTTCTTTCTTTCTTTCTGTCCGTTCAGTCCATTCTTCTTTTTAGTTTTTTGTTTTTTTTTTTCTTTCTTTCTTTTCTTTTTTTTCTTTTCTTTCTTTTTTCTTTCTTTTCTTTTCTTTATGCATTTCTGTCCTTTTTTGATCAATTTCCTTAGATTTCTTTTTTTTTTATTTTTATTCTTATTCTTACTTTTTTTTTTTTTTCATATTTTTGCCATTTACCCTCTTTATTTTTTTAATTTTTTCTTCAATTTTCTTTCTTTTTTTTTTCCTTTTTTTTTTTTCTTCCTTTTCAACCTTTCTTTTCTTTCTTTTATTTCTTTTTTTTTATTTCATTCTTTCTTTTTTTTTTTTTTTTCTTTTTTGTTGTCTTTCTCATTCTCTTTTTTTCTTTTTTTCTTTTTTTCATTCTTTCTCATTCAAAGAATTTTTCAATTTTTCAAATTTCTTTCTTTCTTTTTTTTCTTTCTTTTTTCATTCTTCTTTTTTTCTCAATCTGTCACTGTTTCTTTCTTTCTCATTCACCCTTTCTTTCTCAATCTGTCACTGTTTCTTTCTTTCTTTCTTTCTCATTCACCCTTTCTTTCTCAATCTGTCACTGTTTCTTTCTTTCTTTCTTTCTTTCTTTCTCAATTTTTTTCTTTCTCAATCTGTCACTGTTTCTTTCTTTCTTTCTTTCTTTTTTTTATTTATTTATTTATTTATTTCTCATTCCCTCTTTCTTTCCCATGCTTTCTTTCTTTCTTTTTTCTTTCTCCTACTCTCCTCCTTCTTTCTTTCTATTTATTTATTTATTTATCATTCTATCTTCATATCTCATTCTTTCTTTCTTTCTTTCTTTCTTTCTTTCTTTCTTTCTTTCTTTGTCATTCTTACTTTCTTCTTTCTAGTTCTTCCATTTATTCGTTCTTTTTTATTTTGTCTTTATTTCTCATCCCCTCTTTCTTTCACCTTCTTTCTTTTCCTTTCGTTCGTTCTTTCTTTCTTTCTTTCTTTCTTTCTAATTATCATTTTCCTTCTTTCTTTCTTTCTTTCTTTCTCATTCTCCTTTCCTTTCTCAATATCTTTCTTTCTTTCTTATTTTCACTTTATTTATCATTCCCTCTTTATTTATCATTCTATCTGCTTTTACTTTCTTTCTTTCTCATTCTCTTTTTCCTTCTTTCTTTCTTTCTTTCTTTCTTTCTTTCTCATTATCCCCTTCTTTTTCAATCTCTTTCTTTCTTTCTTTTTATTCTTCTACATAGTTCCTGATTTCATTTACTTAATGCAATCTCCCTGTGTTTATCCACATTCCTTCATTCGTTATTCATTCATTCATATTGTCTGAAATTCTTTCTTTTTTTAAATTCATATATTCATTTATTTATTTTGCGTTATACATTCTTTTTTTTTCTTCAGTTTATCATCATTCATTTACGAGTTAATCCTTCCTTCATTTATTCTGTCCACGTTTTTCTTTCTTTATTTCCTTCTTTCTTTTATCTATGCTTAACTTCCGCCTCTTCTTACTCTTTGCTTATTCACTCCTGTTTTATTTCTTTTATTTAATACCAACTTCCAACTTGTTTAAAACGGACTAGAATCAACATAACTCCAAAGTTTGCCATTACTAATGATTAACAACAGTTCTTGTTCCGAAACAATTCCGTGTAGCAGAGTTACCATTGTCTCATTAGGGTAGGAGGATTTTTCACTTTCTTTAGAATATCCACATAGCACTCAGTCTAAAAGCTGGGGTTAGTGATAAGTTCTGGCACCAAAAGTTAGATACATAACTTTCAGAAATTATTGTGCATTTAGTTTTAAATATTGTCTATTGGTTTATTTGTTTGTTTTGTTTTACGGCATATCAACACCTCAATGGGTTATTTAATGCCGACAAGATTTTTATTGCTGGTAATATTTTTTTTAATTTAACATAATATTATTTTTGGTTTTAAAATAAAATTGCAAATTATGCCTTTCGTAAAATGTTCATCTTTACATCAAGAAACTGATTCGATCCTTTAGTTGTTTTGGTTTGGTTTGATTTACGGCATATCAACATCTCAATGGGTTATTTAATGCAGACAAGATTTTTATTGCTGATAATATTTTTATAATTTATCATAATATTATTTTTGGTTTTAAGTCAATATTTGTATAAAAATCTTAAGGATGTTCATCTTTTTCATCAAGAAACTGATTCGATCCTTTAGTTGTTTGGTTTGGTTTGTTTTACGGCATATCAACATCTCAATGGGTTATTTAATGCCGACAAGATTTTTATTGCTGGTAATATATTTATAATTTAACATAATATTATTTTTGGTTTTAAGTCAAGTACGGCGCCTTTCTTAATTTGTTCATCTTTACATCAAGAAACTGATTCGATCCTTTATTTGTTTGGTTTGGTTTGTTTATTTTTATATCAATTAATACAATGGGTTATTTAATGCCGATAACATTTTTTATTTTGGTAATATTTTTTTCCAATAACACATTGCTGCAATTTTTTTTCTCTTCAAAAATGTATTGCTGGTATTAAAACCTCTTTTTACAATTTCATAGTGTTTTGATCCCAGTTTGGGGTTAACTATTTGCCAGTAGTTGGGACCCTAACACGTTCTACCACCTCGGGCCATGGTGGACCTGGGAACACCAGCAATTAAGATGTGGTTCCATGCTCCTCAAAACATCCTGATAAAAGGCCTTGCTGTTGGATGGAATTTATAGTCTTACCCAGGACGGAAATATCGTCTGAAAAAATGTATAGAAATAGATAATTTCTGCATGTTTCTGCTTAGAAACTGACCTTAAAATCTGACAATTTCAAGAATAAATCCAAATTAAGTTGATCTTGTTTTGTATTAAATTCATTGAATTGAAAATATATTGAAACCAGAATTCCAATTGCGAATCATCAGAGGCAAAATATGCATTTTTTACTGTATTTCTTACGTTAAAACAGTGTAAAAAATTTTAAAAAAATTAAAAAATCATGACTCAATAAATAAGATTTGTTAGATCCTGATTAATAAAACAAAAAAATAGAAAAAAAGTGTAAATAATACCATAATACTTCTGGGCATAAACTATGATGCAAAATGTTTTAAATTTGTATTGGTTATCGAAAATTACACTAAAACTATTGAACTATATAATATATTATACTGTGACGTGACGTGGCTGTCTCAGGGTCGATCCTTTGGTCACGGCACCAGTTGTGACGTCGTCCCCCGGTCGCAGCGTCGACTGTGTCGTTCGATCCCGGTCGCGGCGCCAATTGTGACGTCACGTGCTCCCCAGGCTTTGATATCCTGGTCACGGACAGCACCAGTTGTGACGTCTTTTGTCGCGGCGTCAGCTGTTCGCTCCTCGCTGCTCCAAACGTGACGTTCTAACCCTTTGGTTAGATTGATACCAGCCTCGCCGTTCCCAACTCGCTTCCAACGCCTGGTTACCAGGGTAACTGCACTGATCTCCAGTCTGCCTACCCACGTTGTGAATTGATCTTAGACAGACGAGATCAAACAGGGGTTGGGCCGTAATGCAAGTTGAGTCTAACGGGGTGATAACACACAATTATATATAAAAAAAAAAAAATAAAAACTCACAAGGTCCAACGTATCAAAGAAAAAGGTAACAAACTTTTTATGTCTATTTGCTCGGTACATAGGACTATGTCTACTTCCCGACCCGTTCTGTGGATTGTGGCACGACGCTTTTACTAGGCAACTTTAAGGCTTCAAGTTGTCTGCTCTCTAAGAAATTTGTGTTTCGGTGTGTCTTTGGACGAAAGTCGAAAAAAAAAAACTTATTTCTGTGGTCTGATTCTAAGTCGCTCTTCAAACTACTTGTTCTTGGTTGAAGAAGAGTCCAGAAGTGTGCGTGAATCTTGGTCAGCTATCTTGACGCGGTTTCAACACTGGGCGCTCATCTCTGCTTGTCGTCCACGGCTCAAAACTCTTTCGCCGTCCGCTGCTCAAACTCTCTCGCCGTCCGCGGCTGAAACTCTCTTCAGAGTCTGAATTACTGGTCACTCATCTCCGCCGTCGGTGCGCGAATTAACTTCTTCTCTTCGGCTTCTGAATTACTGGTCACTCATCTCCGCCGTCGGTGCGTGAATTAACTTCTTCTCTTCGGCTTGGGTCGGACGAACTTCTTCACTTAGGCCAAACGAACTGGCATCTCCTGCCCGCAAAGGGGCGAACGAACCTGGCCCACCGTCCGCGGCTCAAAAAAACTGATTTCTGTCGGTTGGGGTCCCGCTTTTATTGACGCAGTCAAAACTGGGGTGGGTCTGTCGGCGCCAGGGTTTTTTCGATAATTCTAAATACGTATCCACCCTTCTTATTTCTGGTTAGGGATTTTCCATTTTCGGTAACTCACTCTCACTCCCACTTCCTTACTGTGCCTCTGAGGGGCGTATACCCGCTTCCCCTCGCTTCTTCGTATCGGCTCCTCACACTTACACTTCTGACAAGGGCGTCGACCGATTCTCCTCGTGCATCACGTGACCGCTCTCGGCCAATGAGGTCCTGGTCGGGTATCTTTCCTCCTCCTTCGTGTGTCATGTGATCTTATTTAGCCAATGACGTCTTTAGTCGGGCGTGGACAATCCGTGGCTTTGTTTTGGGAAAGAAACACCTTGTTTAAAAAACAAAAAAATATTAATTTAAATCGCCCTTATCATGAGCGACTGAGATGACACCTTCGGCTTTTTTAACACGTGGTATTTGTCAAGCAGTTTATCGCTAATTGGATATGATCTAAGAAAGGAAATTTCTCAGACCTGTTGGCGTTTTGAAACGAAATAAAAATATTTCATTTTCCTCCGCTTGAAGGACTGATAATAAAAATCTTTATTATCTCAAAAAAAAAAATTTTCAGCGACATCGTCTTGTGTGGCTTTTTCTAATTCTGGAGACTGTCTATGTTTTCTTATTAATGGTTTGCCTTCATATCCTTAGATACACTTCACCCACTTGTTACCTATCAATATTTTGACATTGTCCCTAAACTTCAATATTTTCATTTTTCTTTCTTTTCTTTTCTTTGGGTGACAACCAATTGATAACAACTTCCATTTTCCCCGAATCTCGGAAGTTAGATGCTTGACCTGGATATTTTTTCGACACCTGTTATCTGTCAGCCGAGCGTGCGTGTGTGCTCGCCTATGACCTGTTTTCGTATTATTTTTTTTTTCTTTCTTCTTCGTTTTCTCTTTCCTTCTTCCAGATCGCTTGAACGTAAAGAAAGAATTATTCTTAAAACCCAAAATATTTTTCGGCCCTAAATAATTATTAAATGGTTGATAAACCGTAAAAAAACAAATCATATATCTATGAATATTTCTCTTCAGCTCGTCAGGTATGCATGGTGCCACAATACATAAATGTAAAAGACAATAGGAAAACTGTAATAGTTACCGACGCGTTTCGTCCAATGCGGACATTTTTTTTTTAAACGAAATGAATTTATTAAACAAAGTCACTAATAATAACGAAACAAAATGTCCTTAGCAAGTGGAAGAATTTAGAGAACGCTATTTTCATGCTGTCAACTGATATTACGTCATTTACTATCACGTGCGGAGATATTGTTTTTATTGCTGTATTGACGGATTCAAGCATTTTCTTTTGATTTCTTTATACTGTCCTGTACATTTGTTTGGGAGAGTAGTAATTCTGTCAAGAAAGCTGAAATAGGGAAAAAGCCTGGGCGTAGATTAATATTTGGGTAATATTCAATGACGGCACTCTCGAGGATTTTCCGTCTGAGTAAGTTATATATTTTATAAAAACCGCATTTATGAACACAAAAGAGACTTCACAAAAACAACTTAGCTAATGCACTAATCATACATAGAAATAATTTCAACCACAATTTTGATTTTAAAAATACAACACTCAGAAAAAAGAAAATAACTTTTGCCTTGAAAAAGTCCACATTGGACGAAACGCGTCGGCAACTATTACAGTTTTCATATTGTCTTTTACATTTAAAAATATTGTCTTTTTCTACAGGTTAACTCTGAGAATTTTTTCATAATATATTATATAATAATATAGCTAAACTCTTCAGTATAATTTCCCTTTGAATGTCTTATTTGATGGCACAATGATTTAGTAATAATATGCTTGTACTATGCATCTTGTCTATATACAATTTGTGAAGCTTCAGTAAATTATAAATTTGATACGGCTTTCACTGGTCAGTGCAAATGCAACGCTATGAATTTGAACTTAAAATTAATCTTTTAAACACAT